AATTTCAGCCTTCTCCAAAACCTGAAACCCACAAAGGATGAAATCCTGGCCTTACTGAAGTCGGTGACAAAACTCCCACTGGACAGTAAAATCCTATGCTTACATTTCAGTGTACAGTAAAACTCTGATAGTCCGGCATCCAACTGTTCGGCACTCCTGATACTCCGACATCAAAATGCCAAGCGCTCCTGACGAGCTGATTAAAAAGCCTGCCGCTCAGCACACGTGCTGGCTGTAATCAGAGGGAGCATAAGGTTGGGAGAGGGGGAAGAGGGAGTGGGATTGTGTTACAGTATGGAGAAGAGAGGTTACAGCATGGAGGAGATGCGAAGTGGAAAGGGGAGGAGGGAGGGAGATTGTGTCCTGGCCAGCTGGTTAAGCGGTGCAGCTGTACCAGACCTCCTGATTCTCCGGGAAATCTGATAATCCGGCACTGCCTAGGTCCAAAAGGTGCCAAATTATCGGAAGTCCACTGTATATAGTATACAGAGTAGGGCTGTCAGTCAGTTAACTCCTGCAGTTAACTCAAATTAATTGTGATTAATCAGTTTTAAATCACACTGTGGAGCAACAGAATGCCCATTGAAATTTACTAAATTTTCTTCTACATTTTCAAATATATTGATTTTAATTACAGCATAGAATACAAAGTATGCACTGCTTACTTTATATTTTTATTACAAATATCTGCACTGTAAAAATGATAAAGAAACATTTTTCAATTCACTACAGTAGTTCCATGAGGTGAAATCTCTATCATGAATACAACTAACCAATGTAGACATTTTTTTTGTTTTATAACTGCACTCAAACAAAACAATGTAGAACCTTTTTTGTGTTTTATCAAATCTGCAACAAAGATATTCTTTAAAAGAACATGTGCCGAGTCATTATTCTAGACCATAGTTTCCCAAACTGGAGGGCATGCCCCCCCCCTTCCCGGTTAATGGTCAGTTCCTTTTTCTTTTTCTGCTCAAGTTCTGCTGCTATTGATGCCGAAAAGTTTGTAAGCCACTGTTCTAGACTACTATAACATAAAATATATGGCAAAATACAGGTAAAACAGAGCTGGAGTTTTACAATTCTCCTTTAAGCAGTTCAGTCACAAATTTGATTGACATTTTTAAATGAGCATCATCAGTGTGGAAGCATGTCCTCTGGAATGGTAGCGAAGCATGATTCTTTTAAAAAACACAAGAGAAACTATGGAGACAGTTATATCTAAACAATAAATAAATTTTAAAAGATTAATGCAAATGGTTATT